GCGTCCGTGAAGCGCTGCCTCACGGCCGGAATGACAAAAAAGGTGCTCACGGCCTAGTAATCAAACATACTATCTGTGAGCAAGGTCTTAACGCAGAAATGAAGGGACTGTTGTGAGCAATAGGGTAGGGGTATCCAGTTCATTTATCCCAAGATGATTTTTCGCGCAAACTCATCCCATGACTTCTCATCCTAAACAATGTCATCCCAAAACCAATTTATCCCACGCCAAGTTCGTGCCATTTTTTTCTTCATTTTGTTTGATGTAAAAAATACACGAATGAATCGCGTGACCAATCGGATTAACAGATCCAATACAATGATTATCAATATTCTTTATCTAATTCAGAGTACTCCAGGATCCTTGAATGATCGTGTGGTCATCGACAAACAGGGATTAACAGTAGCAAGAACAGTGAAGACAAAAGGACACAAAACCACTCCAAAAATGCCAAAAACCCCATCAACAAATCCCGAGTCTGAAAATCAATTTGAACGGAAAAAACGCTCCTCAGTATTAACTGAAAATAAGAGCAATTGGCCTGGGACATTCCGAGAACAGACGAAAGCTTCGTTGAAGCAGAGCCTGCACCAAATGAATGGGGGGCCGAGGGGCTCAAAGACTGCACGACCATTGGCAGGAGATTACAGGGAACCTAGAAGAGTCAGACGTGATGCTCCATCGGTGAACCCCTCAGCCACGTCTGTTGCGAGTAGAGAGAGTACAGAGTCTGTTATTGTGATCGATAAAGGGGTGCAATGTGGGGGATTGTTTGACTCTTCTAATAATCATTTTAATTTATTGAATCCAATTCCAACAATCGCTTTTCTCATGAAGGAGCTCGAAAGTTTAGTCAAGGATGAGAAGTCCAGTGCGATTTTGTACCAGATGGAACAAGCATTGTTGAGAATACCTAAAGATACTGGAAAATCAAGTCCTGACGTGAGTTTTGAAGATTTTTTTTTGTGGTAACAAAGGATTTTACAATCGTTGGGAGATGATTTTGTATGGGTTACCGTGTGAATATTTTCCGATGAACGATCGCGTTCTGGACTTCTCTAAGAAATATTTTGAAAAAACATTACCAAAAAAACTGTGAAATTCAGAATTTACCACCAGGTTTTCACATCCTAGTTTCAAATGTTTATACTTATTTATCAATGTTCATAGGATCTAGAGATGATCCTAAAATATACCCAACTAGAAGCCAGCGTAACTCAACTAGCAGCTGCAGGTAAAGAAATGCAGACCACTTTGGAAGCATCTCGAAAGGAAAAAGCCATTCTTCAACAGTAAGAACCCAATTTCTCAAATTTCTATATCTCTAGTTCTTTAATTATTAGCGAAAAATTCATTAAAATCACATAAAATGAAGTAACACAGTATAAATCAATTTATACTGTGTTATTATATTTTATTTTCTTTCCATTTCCGTCTTCACAATTAGATTAATTTAATTTTATTCATTCTTATTGTTATTATATATATTTTAGTTCCTTAATTCATAAGTTACAACATTGCATGAAGAGGAATTCCCTGTAAATCAAATGAGAATACAGATCGACAAACAACTTTCGATAATCATACCTAAAACTTTTCATTTCTTTCCTTTTCTTAAAACTAATGAGTACCAATGATCTGAAAATGTGAACGAATATGAACATTTTACATCCTTTTGATTTCATTTCAATGGAACCGAAGAAGGAAATTGCAAAGAGCGATCGATCATCATCAATCAGTATCAATAAAATTAAAAAATCGATTTTTCAATCTTGAAAATTTCAAAACCTTTTTTTTTTAATAATGAAGAAAAACCAATATATTTTCTTTCTATTATCTAATTCTGATGAAAGAAAGTGAAAAGAGGGAAAGAAACGAGATCAACACGAAAACAAAATTTTTGAATGTTTAGGGAAAATTTTAAAATTGATATATTTTTTTGAATAATGAACCAATACCCATAAATTCAATCCCTATCCTCACATTTTCATAGAAAACATTTAAAAAAATAGCAAAGGCTTCAAATGGGCGATGGAAAATTTTATCGGATTATTATGTAATAATTCCGAGAATGAATAATTCTGCAGTGAAATGTTGACGAAATTTTTTAGTTCAACATTTTTTCCGCTATGAGATAAATTTTCTGACATTTTCACTTGAAACTGCTCATTATTGGCCATGAGATAATCCCACAATTATGAAACTTTGTCAACATCAAATTGACAGCTCATGAAACATCTTGACTTGTTGATGAACTATCTTGGTTAGTCAGTTAAATATTTTTCTATCATTTCAACAGGCAGCTTGAAGAGAAGTCTCTCCACCTCGAGTCCTCCCTTCGTCGAGAGGCTGAGCTCGAGGCTATCCTGAAAGACCTCCGCCAGAAACTCACCGACTCTTCAAAGCTAGACCTCACAAATAAAAAACTGCTCAGCGATCTCAAAGAGAAAAATGAAAAGATCCAACTCCTCCAGAACATCACAACAGAACTAAAAACTGAACTCAACGAACAGACAGAACTCGCGCAACAGCGTTTCCTCGACTCTCAATTCCTCAAAATGGAGAAGGAAAAATTGTCTGTAATGTCTTCGTTCAAGGATTCCCAACTGATCGAACATCGAAAGGCTATGAAAAATCTCCAGCACCTAATCGGAGATCAATTGATCAACATCACGAAAACTTCAAGACCTGAAAACTTGACTCTCAACGCAGACGGGTATGTATCCCACATGATGAGTGGTGGGAGGGTTTCGTCGTCTCCAGTTCGTTCCTCAAACAACTCAGTTATTGTGATGAGAAATGTTGGACATGATGTCGTCGATGTCTCAGAGCCCTCGATCTCCACGATAGACGTGACGAGTCCGCCCACAATGATTAATAAAAATTTATCGTCACAGTTGGAGACTCTCATAAATGAGTCTGGGAACCAAACAGAGAAATTTAAGGAGAAAACGCACTTAGAATTTACTTCAATTGGAGGCGATGACGGGTCACACATTGGTTCAATCCTGAAACCTAGTGAAGATGAATTTATTTACGTTGTTCCTGAGGGCATTCGTGATGGTAATTGTGATGAAGTTGAGCAAGGGGAGAGTGAGGTGAAAAGGTCGAGGGGAAGACTGTCCCTGGATGGGAGGGTGGACTGGAGCAAAGGGATCAAGGAAATCGAAATGATGTATCAGAATACGAGGATTAATAGTAAGGTTGAAGTGAGGGTGCCCAGCCCGCCTAGAAATTATCCCCATCCCGACTGGAGTGATAGCTCGCTGCCAACTATGAGCATCTCGGAATCCAATTTGGTATAATTAGGTAGTAGAGAGCAGAGAGATTTTTAGGGGGTTTCATTCTGATTTATCTTATTTATATTTTTAGGGGTATTTATTTGTTTCGCAGAAAAGATTATTTGCATGGAGAGTTTACTCTTGACGGGTTAATTTGATTTTGGGGGAGGAGAGAGAGGGGGTTGAGAGGAATTAATTTAGAGAGTGATTGATTCATTTCAAGACTGAGGGTAAATGGCAAATAAACTCGGGTATGTCAGAATTTTCGTTAGGACTCATTCATCTCAATTTTCTGGAAAAACACGTCCGAGGCGAAATTTAAAAAGAGCTCACTCATTATCCCTGATTGAATTGAATTAGTGCCAAAGGATCGACGTCAATTATTACGAATTATTCTTGAAATTTACATGAAATTTACGACGGTTGAAATTTAAAGTCGTCTTATTACATTATCAACTTACCATACTGTTGCTGTACGAATTTAGTGTTTTGTAAGGGTCTCATAATTTTTCAGGAATAATAATAGAATAAAAGAATTTCTGAGTTTCATGAAATCCCTGCGGAATTGATATCATATAGACAGTATTTAATCAGTATTGATGAAATGGACCTTTCAAATTTTGCAATAGTGAAAACGTATTACTCCCAGAAAGTTGAGATAAATTATTTCTACCAGGAATTCTGGAACACCAGAATTTATTTGGAAAGTGTGGAATACCTTTGTATTAGAAAAAATTTAATGGCGTCTGAAATGTTGAAATAGTTTTCCAATAAACCCGCCAGATCCCGAGATGTTTCCAAAATAATCTCAACAAAATGTCCTTTTTGCTCATTCTCTTCGCGAGAATCAACGAACTAAATAAATCAATCATCAAATTTAGTTTGTCTTATCTCCATGTTCTTTAATCAGCGGAATGTCACATAATCTTTATCTCCACATATTTATAAAAAAAAAGTTTAAATATTTTCTACAATGTTACGGCACATTCAACCAGTCTATTAGTTACAGAACTTTTTTAATTAAATAAATAAACAACTTCAGTAATGTTGGTTGCGGCGATCGTAGTAAGTCGATGAGTATTTGCTGTAGCGATCACTTCCAGCGTCGTCCGCGTATTTCTCTTCGGCTTTGTAATGGATCTCAGGGGCTGAGCCTACCTGTCCTTGCCAGTACCTCGTCCAGTAAAAATCTTCTGGATTCACTTCGTGTGGGTGTTTGGCATTTCTGAATACGTGGACGCAATATATCAAACTTCCCATTAAAGTGGCAAAGCCGAATATTAAGAAAATTATTCCGAGAATCCTGCAAAAACGATAAATGTTATTATTCATTCGCTTTATTTACGAGTTGACGGCATGAAAATTCATTGCTATGAAATTTGAAATTCATTTCGAGGAATGAAGTTTAAGGGGAGACGGAACCCCTTTGTCTACATCGAATCTTAGAATTGTGTTTTCTCCTACAATTATTAATTTCTATCTATGAAATTACTTTATTGACTCGATTATCGCATTGTTGAGTCAATGAAGTAGTTTAATGAATCAAAAATAATAATTGCAGGAGAAAACACAATTCTAAAGATTCATATAAACGCAGGGGTTCCGTTTCCCCTTAACGGATCCTCGCCGTAAAGGTATTTTCCAATAATAGATTTGTTACCGTCGTACCGATTCTTAAACTCAAGGTGACGATAGATTCATTCCAGATGTCATCAGCCATATTAATTAAAAATTGGATAATTTCATTGTAAAAAACAAAGATTTTTTCGTTACAAACCCGTTTCGACTTTTAGCGAAGACTTTATTTCGGCTCTCTTGGTTACTCCAAAAATTATATAATTTTAAATTGTCTGCTAATTATCGAATTTTTATAAATTGCTGACGATCGCTGAAGAAATTTTACTGTAATCTTGAGTTAAAGAGTTAGAAAAGAGATTTTGTAAATCCGCCAATTCTGTATACGAAAAATTACCTCAACATTTTAAATGTTTTGTTTTATAAATAAAAAAAACAATATTTGAGTTAGAAAGATCTCGAGGAATAATTGAGTTATCTGAATTATTTTTCTAGATCTTTCTAACTCAAATATTGGCGGAGATATTGAAGATTATTATTTTTTTCAATTGTAATTACGAGTCACTAACAATAAAAAAATTTTAACCCGGAGATTTTGTCGGAAATTTTTTCAGCTACTTGAAAAAACTATTGTTTTTTATGCATTTATGTACCTATTTTGGCATGGAAAGCTCAAAAAGAAAGTTTCAAACGGTCATTGCGGGTCATTCCCCATCCTTTTTTGTTTTTTTTTCATCGGAAAGTTCCGAAAATTTCCTAACAAAAACATTTTTCTCCTTTTGGACTATACTTTACGATAAAAAAATAGAAGAAAACTTTTAAAATTTTTAAGCAATTTTTCGTATACAAAATTCGCGGATTCGCTCAAAAAAAAATTGCTCCACTATTTTTAGATTGAGAATTTGTTCGGATAATTACCAGACAATAAGTGGATGGAATATTTGTATGACTATAACAAAACCAAGTGTGACGAGAATAATCCCCAGATTGATGAGGAGTAACAGGCAGCACATCCCTTTGGTGTTCGGGCAAAAGGGATTTGGTGTGGACATGGTTTCAACGACAAGTCCACCGTGTCTCGAGGTTTTCGTTTTTACGGTAGATCCGTTGGATGCTCCGGATCTCGCAGAGCCATAGCTATAATTACTCGGCGCTCTATATCCATATCTCGAACTTGCCACTGGACTATGATGTACTGATGCTCGACTAAAAATTCATAAGTTAACATTAATTATGCAATTATGTCAATACTGAGTGATTTTAGAAGACAATGTTTGGAGATCCCGAATAGACGCACAGACAGCATGCGATCGCTACCAAGTGTCAATCGTACTTAAGGGTTTCATTTATGAAAATAAAAATAATGACATTGATTCGACATTTGTATAGGACGTTCATCATAGTTGTCGGATTATAAAGAAATTTTTTGTCCGAATTTTTCTATATTTCGTTTCTAACAATTAATAATTTTATGTCATAGGGCCCAGCATCCACGATTCTACCGAGCGAAGCGAGGTTAGAATCGCGTGATTCTGGGCACCTATGACATAAAATAGTATATGTAACTCGTGCGTAATGGTGTTTTTTGACTCGTGGGATTGTAAAACTCGCCTTCGGCTCGTTTTACAACTTCCCACGAGCCAAAAAACCCATTACGCACTTGTTGCGTAATATACTATTAGACACATCTTCTACGTAGACCCTTGTAGCGATGCTTTAGGTTAACAAAACAACCAGGAATTCAAGCCTATCGCAGCCTATCACAGAAGACATGTGACCATTACTTTTGGCGTCATTAGTCTCTTTCTTTTTTTTATTTCTACCAATTCCATTGGTAGTAAGCTTTCGAATGGATCCGTAGCAATTCTCCATCCTTCATTTGAAAAAAACTTGAAATCGGATGAATAATTTTTGAGATATTGAACAATAGCTTTTATCTCTAATACAAAAAATTGAATATCTTTAAAACTACTCATTCGATTTCGCCCATCTGTAATCCCAGCCTGTAATGTAGTAAGAGCTAGAATCCTACCACATTTCAACTTCCTATCTCAATTTTTTCAAGCGTTGAAAGACTTTTTTCAAAGATGAAAAAAGTCATTCACTGGGCGACGCGGAATGACACCTCGTTGACACCTCATTTTGTAGTTTACGAAAGTTTTATTAAGAAGAATTTCTATTCAAAAAATGTTTTCTAATAAAATATAAAATATAAGTTGAGACTCCTTGGGCCGGTCCGTGTTACGGGGCAGCGGAGGAGTGAAGAGCGCTGAAATTTTCGAAAGCTGCTCACTTTGAATTGGCATAAGTGATTAACGATCATAGTTGTAGTGAAATTTTCGGCAGGGTTTGATCAATGATACTCAAAAATTCAAATTTTCGAAATGCAACGCCATGAATATCATGCTCTCTAAACCTTGCGACTGGAAGAAATTATCAGAAGACCTTATTTGCAGCTGTGGAAAATCTTCGAACAAAATATCTCAACAGTTCCTCTCACATGATAATCGTCTGACTAAACTGTCTATTATCTTGGTAATGAAGAATTTTAAGGCGAAGTGTGAAAATATGAAAAAGATTTTCCATCACTTTACTGCAGAGAATTGATCAATAATTCACCTAAAGTCTGGTGTAGTTCTATAAGCTTCACTCGTAACGTAAATTTCTGAATCCGGTCCATGTCTATGAACCCCAGGGGGGGAGTCCCTTAAGTCTCGTTCGTGTCGTCTTTTCTCTTTTCTCCCAGTCTGCAAAAGAAAATAAAAAATAAAATTAAAACTGAAATGATCTTCATAATGAATGATCCTAGGCAGAAATATTAACAGACATTCTGATCGAAAATTTCTCCCTCGAACAAAGTCTCTTGACAATTTCCCCCAAACTCACCCATTATGGCAACGATTGGGATCATTATAGAGATACACTGAAACGAGAGAGTTCTCCAACAAGTCTTACTTGTGCGAAGAAAATGGTTTTTTGAAAATTGAAAAAATGAAAACTTCTTGTCGCAAAAGTACACGCAAGAAATGCCATTTCCAACACTACTCCTTCGTTATTCGATACTCTAATAATCACAGACAAGAAATGAACCTTAAAAAGAAACAATAATAATGATATGATAGCAATCTTGCAACTTAGGGACAAAATATTTCTTGATAAATTTTCTTCTATATAAGAGATATTCTCATCCTGAACAGGCACCGTTTGGTGTGAATTATCCGCCTCTTGAGCCAAATATTTCGTTATTGTCGAAAGCAGAGCAATTATTCATGTTAGAGACTTTCAAATTTGAACCAAACAACTTCTTTTTTAGCAATTTTCAATTAGCGATTTTGTTGGCCCAAACAAGACTTGTTTTAGAACGTGTTTTTCTCTCAGTGTACTGAGAATGGAAAATACGACTTCTTATGCTTCAAAAATCGCAGCAAAAATTTGTGCTCCAATCGAAGCGGAAAAAAGTATCTAAAAATAAAGATGACGAATTGTTGATTACCATAGCATTTGGTTTGTGTGCTGTGGCATACTCCGAGGACGTACGCACGGAAACGGCCCGATGGCTTTCCTCACCGTCTGTGGAATAGGCGCGATGTGGGTCCCTCCCATTGTGCATCTGGTATTCGTTGTTGTGACGCATTGTTACCTGTCCGATGTCTGTAACTTCATTACATACAATAATTTTTATTTACCACATATATTGGCTCGAGTGTAGGCACAAGGTTAAGGTACGCCCGCGTACAACCTCGTCCTCAATTATGTAACGGAGAATAAACAGGAGAGATAGAATTCAATACTCTAAGGATTTTCGCATACATAATTTTAAATATATCGCAGGAACTAGTGAGTTTCATGGGAACTTGAATTCTCTGCAATAAAGATCCCGTTTTCTGTGGATCTATCAGTTTTACAGATACTTTTTAAATCCTCTAAAAATTTCTTCAGAAAGAAGGCGAAATCAACGATTTCGTAATTGTTATCTTTATATTTCGAGAACTGGTGGGTTTCAAGAAGAATGTTACATGGCTTTTTATGTAGAGAATGGAAGTCTATTATGGATGATATTTTCACTTATAATACTACAAGGGCTTCTAAATTATTAGACAATTTCCGATAGGTGTTTACTTAATTCTGAAGCTTGAATGGTATTCAGGAGATTATTTGTTGCGTGATTTTGATCAAGCGCAGTGCAGTATTCGAAAGAAAAATGTTTGATTGATTGAGAACAACTAAGGTGGTACTATGAATTTTCTAGATGCAATTTCCAAAAGCTAAAGTAAAATTTCCGAAAAATTCTGTAACAAATAAATCAAAAGTCTGTTATGGGATTTATCCCTTGAAGCCTAGAACCTACTAAAATTGTAAGTGACCCCCACGCTGGGTACAATAATTACATGAATACCGATGTGATTCGCCGAAATCCAGACTTGAAAAAAAATTTTATTTATATTCTTCTGTCAATCTATTAGATATTGTAATGTTCGCGAAATAATCTGCACGTATGTTTTACCAGAGGAGATATGATTCCAAAACTTTCAAAATACCTCAAAAAGTGTCTTATTACGTTTTCCCCTAAATCATGTACTTCTCATGTTATTCGCAAACTAATGGAGAAATTCTCTTTTAATTTGTCTCCTTCTACAACTTTTGTAGTGAATTTACTCTTAAAATCAACAAATTCAACTGAATTTTCTAGATCCATTCTAAAGATGCAATGCAAATTACTCTACAAGCATATCACATAATTTTCTCATAGGTAACGCATTACACATCCTTTGTTCGATAAAACCACGCGTACGAAGAAGAATATCTTCTTTACCAATCTCGGTGTGTCGGTGTGTTACTTTCGCTTCTGACAGAGTTGAGTCATCTTCATCCGTCAAACTCGCGTGAGGAACAACAAAAATTCCTCCATATATCAAATAACATCATCGCAATGATTAAAACTCTATGAATTTAATTACAAACATCTTTGATTTGCAAAAAACACAAAAAAAAAGTTTTTGTGGTTAGGATGTGGAGATTTCAATGCCTGTGGGTGAATCTTTTCTTGAATATCCAATATATAAAGGTTTGATGGATAATTTTTTTGATCACAGTGATGAAAATAATTGGATAATAATGAAAAATACGTAATTGAACGATAAGAGAGTCATTAAGAGTACTTGAATTAGCAGAAAAACTACTGATTCTGGGACATGTCAGAAGAGCTTTTTTGCACTAAATTTTAAGACCTCGCTCACTAGTTCCCAAGATATTTGTGATTGTTTAATATATCTCCCAGTTCTTACACTAAACTGGCACATGAATAGAAAAATTTCGGCCTGTCTGAAAACAACATCACTAGAATTGTTTTTGCGACTTATGCAATTTGTACATGAAATCTTTTCAAAATTTTTTGTTGACCTACTTCATTCTCGAATATTGTCAAGTTATGTCTCTGACGCTTTCAAATATTCAATTTACGGGAAAAAGTAATAACAACTTCTCCATATCCACCTTTCCCCACTCTAAAATAATCACAAAACAAACGAATTCCCTCTACAGTTACTCAATTCTTACAATTTCCTGGCTTATATAATTCCGCGATTTCAAAAAAACTGGAATCAAAGAGTTTACCAAATAAGATTCACTTTCTCCCCTCCCTATCTTAAAAAACTTCACCTGAATGATTCAATCACCAAAATCATTCTTCCAATTATCTGTAAAAATCGATAGATAAATATAAATAAATGCCTCAATTTGTTTTGCTAAACCTTTTTCTGTAACTTTTTCGTTGTATCCTTTTTCGTACTCCAGAGATCACTTTTTGGATGATGACAATTTGTGTAATAACACACTTAAATCGATGATCGATACCATATTTATGCAATTTTTATTTTACGAAGAATTTAATGATTCATCAAAATTTAATAGAAAGGTATTGTTTGAAGGTATTTTCTAAGTGGGAATATCATGCGATATATAGGAAAATTGTTTAAGATTGTTATAACTGCGCGGTATGAATTGGAAATGACTACACTAGCTTTGGTAGACAGCTAGGCACACGAAGCAGCGCCAAGACTCAAGTTGTAAGTACCTTTGAGGCTTTTCGCGTTGAGTAGAGAAAGGTGGCCATGAGACAACTATACCGCTTCGTTGGATTTTACTCGGCACAGCTTGTGCCATAAAACTGTGGACGGTGGAATGGCAGTGGGGATCAATTCGTAGTTATAGCTAAGCAGTTGTTTTTGTGGGTAAGCTACTGTTACCTGTATCTTCTATTTTTTATTTATAATTTTGGTTTTTTGTCGGGTCGGTGCAGGCGATGATTGGCCTTTTTTCTAGTAATTCGTTTAAAATTTTTAAAATTTAAAACATGTTCAACTAGCGCCATTCTTGGACAGAAAATTTTCATTTGATGGAGAAATTTTAGGGTTTACAAAATAAAATAAGTTTCTTGATATTTTTCCTGAATCTATTCGCAGCTAAGACATTCGAAAAATAGTGGATAAAGAATTATTGAAGTTATTCTTTTGCATGAAATGGATTTGCAAAGTTTGAAAGAAATTGTTTCCATCGACAATTTTGTGGACTATAAAAAAGGTCATTTGATATTTTTTCATGAAATGAGTAGGGCTGAAAAAAAAACTCGTTCATAATCAATACTCTTTAATTATTTTGCAAACATCTTATAAAATAGAAGGTTTAGAAAAATCTATCAGTAACCTTTTTGCAGAGAATTTGGGATTTAAAAAAAAATTCTGTTTACCGCAATGAAATCGACTTGAAAATTATTTAAGGGGATATGTCGGTGAAATTTAAAAGTCCTCATTAGGGCCTTGGGACCTATTGAATAGTTTGTGATATATGATGAAATATGGGAATAACTACGGAAAATCGCGGACTCGATCGATTTCGCCCCGTATAACCACGAAAAACTTCATTTTTTCCCGTTTTTACTTTTAAAATGCTCCTGGCGCCGTAGTTTTCATACGATTTTAGCTTCTTTTTTAATGTTCGTTGCACTCCAAAGAATAAAGTTCAGCATCCGTTTTACTTTATTCGCAATAGATCATGAAATAAATGAATTTTGAATTTCATAAATTTTTCGTGTCGCTAGAGTAGAGTAAAATTTATGAAATTCAAAATTCATTTATTCATGATCTATTGCAAATAAAGTAAAACGGATGCTTAACTCTATTCTTTGGAGTGTAACGAACATAAAAAAAAAAAAAAATCGTATGCAAACTACGGTGCAAGGAGCATTTTCATCAAGGTAAAAACAGGAAAAAATTGAGTTTTTCGTGGTTAAAGGGCGATTACTATGAGTTTTAAAAATCGTGGGCTATTGGAATGAGATTTCTCATACATTAAAGATCGATTATGTATGTCTAAAAACGCACAATTAGTCCAAAAAAACTAATTGTTTATTATTCGTTCACCTCGCAAACGCTTAAACCGTTAAAAATAGTCCAGGGCCTCCAATTTTTGAGCTACATTTTTTTTTGAAAATTTTTGGAAAAATATGTGCAGTAACAATTACGAATTAGTTTTTTGAAAGTCAGCTTCTACGAAATGGCACCATTCATGTAAAATACCCCGAAAAATATTTCTGAAAAACTCAAGAATTTGTTTTAAATATTTTAAGTATAATTTTTCTACCCATTTTACATGAATGGCGCAAATTTTCATATTAAATAAAACGAAATTAGCTGTGTAGGAGTCGAATTTTGAAAAACTAATTCGTAATTGTTATTGCAGACATTTTTTCAAAAATTTTGAAAAAAAACCTTCTGTAGCTCAAAAATTGGAGGCCCTGGACTATTTTTAACATTTTAAGTGTCTCCGGAGCAAACGAACATTTTTTATTTTGATCATTGTTGAGTTTGCAGTTTGTGACGGTTGTGGGGTGGTGATGAGATACTTTTTGATTTTTTATATTGTTGAGATTATGTTTATTAATTCTTCATACTAATAAAAAAATAATGAAAAATCAACAAACTTTCCTCATATTTTCTTCAGGGTGGGGGTGGAGAAAAATCGCGCAAAAAAAATTATTCTCTAATATTTAGAAAAAATACTCATTTTCTTTTTTCTTTCAAAGTTGGCTTTTTCTTGATAGCATTTCTCTGCTTCCTGAGCGTTTCGAAGTATATTATCTGGTAGTATTTCATCATGTTCACTAAACATATCTTCTTGTGTATTCATATTTCACTTTTTGAGTTAATTATTTATTATTATGTAGTTGATTTTTTAGCTTTTTGCACTGCGATTTGTTTCGTTAGTGTCTAATAGATCAGCTGATCGGTGTATGGTTGGGATAATGGGTTATGTTTGTCCCGCAAGATGTCGCTAGGGGTTATTGAGAACGTGTAAAATACCAGTAAAATAGCCTAGGACGCGTGTAAAACTGGGAATGTCTGTTAAGAACGATTGGTGGTGCGTGTAAAATACGACTTACCGACCTCCAAACGCCCCTGTTAACCTGCACTTTACACGCACGCATGACATAAAAAATTTCACAGCATTCAATAAAATCAATGTTTTATTGCATTTCAGAGAGTACATGATCATAGTTGCATACAGAAAAAATAGAAGAAAGGACGTTGTAAATATAAATTGAATTAAAATAAAATTTGGAATGAAGAGACTCGCAGCTAAAAGAGACCCCTCCACTCCACTGCAACAAAAACAACTCTGCTCCAATGAAGTATAAAAGATCTCCCCCCTCTTTTGACAATCACAATGACAGATAAACGAAAATGTTGCGATGACGAAAAGCGGTCCCATTGTCACTCTGTCTGACAAAACCACAAACTACCACGTATCTACATGAATTACTTCACTACCATTGAGTAAAATCATTAATATATTCTTAACTATATCGGAACGAATAATATGTCTCCCCTTCTCCAACTTCTAAGCTTCTCACGACTGTTGCTTAAAATGGCTGCCAAGTGACCCTACAGCCTCCACCGAAGATAACCCCAAGGGCAAATAATAAATCGATTAATCTCTACATTGATGAAAAAGAGCGAAACTTAAAGTGGGTTAAAAGCACAAATAATAAGGAACATAATAAAAGTATCGAATTAACATGGAAAAATCAAGGCAAAATGTAGATGTGTAAATTTTCAATAAATTTTGTGCAACACAAAACGATTGGGATAAGTATATTATCTCATTTTAGAGATAAAAAAAAGCCTTTTGAAATTATTACCACTTTTTCAAAATCGATCAAACAGATTCAGAGTTATGCTCAATTAACCCACTAACAAAAAATGATAAAAACTCAAAAAGTTACTTTTTCAATTTCTAATGAATATGTCTGAATCTAAGAGAACGAAAGAAACCATGAGGATATTTTTTTTGTAGAGTACGTCAAGATCTACAAAAAGTATCTCCACGAAATTTCCATACATCCTTTAGATTCCGAGGTAAATCCCAAAAACTGGATTCTCAACCTAAAGTGACGGCTTAAGAATTTTCGCATACCTATTATCTCGTTTTAAAGTTTCAGAGGGACTTTTAGAAACAACTCTAATTTTTCTCTAACGAGATCGGCCGCGCGTGCTAAGCACGCGCCTTCTCATCTCCTCACGTAGTGGCTCTTCGGTTTCGGTCTTACGCTTACGCTTATTCGAGATTTTCGAGATATTTCGAAATAGATTTCCTTTCTCCTTTTTACGATAAAAAATAGGAGGATCAAGTCGACAGATTCAGAGTTATCACCAATTAACTATTAATAACTATTTTCGAATCAATGCGACATAGAAGAATTTCCATTATAAAAAAAAAATCCCTGTAAATCAATTTTGCCAAGATTTTTCAAATTATAAAACCAACGAAACATCAACAGACATGAGGACTCATTAATTCATCAATCCCTTGGCCTTGAAGAGATCCCTCATGAGCCCCTTGAGATATCCAATCTCTCGGGTTAGCTCTTTAACTTGATCCTGCAGCTTCTCATTGTACTCAACCAGCTCCTGCTCCTCCCCAATGATCTCCTTTATCTCCGCCTTCTTCTTCTGACGATACCTAGTGGCAGCATTCTTGTTCTGCTCCTTCTTTCTGACTTTTTTGTCCTCAATATTTGGCCTCGAGTAAGGTTTGCTTCGATTCTTCGAGTGAATCCGTTGTCCACGTTGTTTATTGCCGGCAGAACCTTGCGAAGTGCTTGAGGAGGTGGTTGGGATCGTCCAGTCAGGATCGTTAGAGTCTTCAGACGACAAGTAACTGTTGGAACTGGTGTATGAGCTTGCCGGGGTCGATGGGGACATATCCTCCGCGCAGGACCGAACATACTCGTCCATTTCTGCTAGTTCATTAGCCACATCCCCACTTACATGAGTGGATAAAGGCATCAGGGAGACGTTCTCAGCGTTCCATCCTCCAGAGATCTGTTCCAGGTAGGAGTCAGACTTGATGGATGGAGTTACTGGAACCATATTCTGAGGAATTTGTGTGATCGGGATCACCTGGGGTTTGCTCATCTGGTAGTCCACCATCACTGGTTGAAGAGCGACGAGTAGCTGATTATCAAAACCCATGGATTTTTCAGGGATCTCGTGCGGGGGTGTCTGAGGGGGCGTCAGATGGGACATTGTGGGGAAAATCTGGTGGCAGGCTTCTACATCCCCCAGGACTGTTTCGAACTCCTGCAGCAGGGATTGGGTTGTCTCCTGCTTGGGGGGGGAAGGTGGGGTCAGCTTTTGGCCGCATTCTGGTGTCGGAATCTCCTCGAACAGGAATTCGACCTTTTCCTCCAACCAGTCGGAGAAGGGCTCTGTGGATGAGAAAGAAAAGTTATGAGTTATTTGTAGGTTGAAGTGGGAAATTTCGATGAACTTGATGAGTTTGATAAACGAATTATTTCAATCACTTGCATTATTAACAAAATTCCGCGATCTCTGGACCATTTTCCGTTCTCCAAATAGCGAAATTTAATATCGTATCAGAATGAAATCAAAAAGTCTTCTCCATCTTCGAAGCAGCTAGATATCGAATGCTGAATGCATTCGATGTAATCAGCACAAAATTTTATTCTGAAGTTCAGGATACAAAGGGAAAAACAAATAGAAAACTATATGTGATAAGTGATCATGATAGTTGGGAAACGTGTAGTAAAATAAAACGTTGTCAAGAGAAGTTTTTTTCATCACACTGTCCGGACACTTCGTATCCGTCAAACGCCGTTTACGAACATTGCGAAGAAAAAAGATGTTGGTCACTCGGCCGAAAACAACTTTTCCACCTCGAATGATTGCATTCCTCGGCGTCGCTTCGGTCTGCAATGTTCACACTCGTCAGAAACGTTTTTTCGGCCTTGTGATGAAAATAGCTATTTGTTTGTTAATCTTGAAAGCGAAGAGTTTTTGATAAAATATCAGAGGACGCTTTTGTAGGGAATTTTATTAGCCGAAAGAAATGTCGTTGACAAGATGATTACAGAATAAATGGAGACTTCAATGCGGAAGGGTCAATTTTTTTCGATTACTTTGATTTGATAATGAAAACATTTACGGTGAATGTCAAGATAGGTCGGTTGGGGCGCATTTCATTGGCTACAAAACAGTCTCATGATATTTTTGTCTCTAATTAGTAGCTGATGAGACAATTGATAGAATTAGTAGAGATTCGAATCCGGAAGTTTCTATTCTTTACATTATTTTGATTTTTTTTTACAAATTTGTCGATAATTTTTTGAGGATCGCATCTGCTACAGAAAGGCCTTCATACATTTTGGTCTAGAACAAAGAGATTCTATGATAATTGCGTAATTAGTGAAAGGATATTTTATTCATTTTGTTTTTACCACTTAAATGTGGAATTTTTATTGTTGACAATTCCCTTAGTCATTTGTAATGATTATTCATGAGGTAGAAGGCGGAACCAAGGATTTGTTGGGGACTTGACGAATACTGGGAGTGGCTGGCATTTGAATACTTCTTTTTTGCATGCGTAATTGAAGTGATAACTGTATTTGGTCAAATTAGATGAACATAGGCACTTATCCGACAAAGTACACTATATTTTGAGAATATCTCAGATTAGTCGATTCTAAAGAAAATGTCAAGAAAACCTTGCCGAGATGGGCGGCAGGGTATCAACCAAGGGAAATTTTTTACTCCGACGCTCCAACACCTCAAGCCGAGCGCTACCGGGTATCTGTACACGAAGTAACTACCTCCTTCACTACCTCTGGATCATGGTCATTAAATGAAATAAAAATCTATGTGACTAAAATGTGCTAGATGCATGAATGTGAAAAACAACATGATAGAAATTGTTTGCTTCTCGTGAAAAAAGTACATTAAATTTGATTTCATCAAACTAAATTAGACAAATAGAAAATCAATTATTTCCTGGTTTTGCAAAAATTAATGAAATTGTCCTAAAAAACAAAAATAACTATTTTTGTAAAAAACACTATGCCAAGGAAAATTTTTCTGTGTTTGCTCCTAGACATGAGGAAGACAATTTTCTAGAAAAATACAACTTCTATAAAAAACTTGGAAAAAAAAAACAGAAATCAATAAAAATAAGCCAAGTCAGGGATCAATAAAAAAAAACAGTAAAGACAGAACCAACGTCCTTGGCGCGGAGTCGGTAATCAGTGCCTAATATCAATCTAATCATCCATTTTCTGACCCGCGTCAAGGAAGTTGGTTCTGTCTTTCTTCATTTTTATTAAGCCCTGATTCGATTTATTTTCATTGATTTCTGTTTTTTTCGAGTTGTTTCTGGAAGTTGTATTTCCAGAAAATTAAGTTATATTTCCAGAAAATTGTTTTCCTCATTTCCAGAAACAACCAAAGAAGATTTTTCCTTGGTAGTGTTCTTTACAAAAAAAATTATTTGTTTTTTAGGAAGATCATAACTTATAAAAGTTCATATAAAAAATATCCCTTAAGATTCGTCTCAATCTTTTCCTATCGGAGAAATCACAGAATTGATTTGAATCATTACGATTTTTTGAATATCTCAATAACTCGTAGGTATAGAGAAAAACATCGAGATGTTGTAGTTGTGAGTGTTGAGAGCAATATACTAACAATGCGATTGATCACTTAATTACAGTTTGTTAGAATCTCATTAAAGACTTGTACAACAGGGAAAGTAAGTAGGATTCTGAATACTGATAGTATTTGCAAAAAGGAAATGTCTGGTTGGATACACGTGACAGTATTGGCGGGAAGAGCGGTGCGCGTGTCTCAAGCATCGCTCATCGACATGTGCCTGTATATGTAATGACTCGCTACGGAGGGGCCTCCATAATTGTTTATATTTGTACTTCTGGACAACGCCGAAACATCATATGACATAAGGTATTTTTCAATTACTATCAATAATTATTATTTGTGATGCAATATACGGACTAGGTTTCTTATGTTCAGAACTGTAAACTAAAAATCGCCCTTATGAGAACATATCGACATCTTAATAACAGACAAACATATCTACATAAGGAATTCATATAACTCATAGATTTTACGCTTGTCTGTTATCAAGGTGTCGATATAGTTATAGAAAAGTTGGTGAAGTGGAATGGATAGCGCATGATCGCAAAAAGGAGGAGGAATATTGTTACGGAGAAAAAAATTGTACACAATTAAAAGTTCGAAAAAAAGCCCGTGAAAATTTTCTTGTAATGTCATTGTTCCTAACATATTTTCTAAATATCCTGTGCCACATTTTCCGCTTCATTTGAAAAATCTTGTTGTAAATATCTCTAAAGCTAATGAATACAGAGGAAAATGTCAAAAGATGTTCTTTGTACCTTATAAAATTTTCTACAAAATGTATCTTGAGATGTTTTTGCCATAGGATGACTGATCACCTAGATAACTCTCTTAACACATGCCATATGTCGACTTAGTATTCAGACAATTATTTTGGTACTTCATGACTGATAAACGACTGTTCTGGGCGCAAAACTATTTGTAACTTGATACTGTATTTAAATAGCTGAGTCAACACTACTGATATAATAGATAGGCGTACAAGCGAAACTAAAATCTATGTTTTTTTTTCCTTTATCACTTTTCATCGCCTAACGAATGTTAAGATTTTGCGCGTTTCTAATTTTTTTATATTTCGATTTCTCCACGGAAAATAACGGACTTTCACTTATTTCTAATTAAATACGTGGCGTGTGAAATTGTAAAATGAGAGAAGGGAAAACTCAATCTATGGTAATGTTAATATCATAAAACCGTTCACTCCAAATTTTTATATAGCATTGAACACTTTTAAATCCACAACTATTTCAACAGAGAATTAGCATTGTTTCAAAAATATAATTATTATTATCATTTTTTAAAAATTTGAGTACGATCTTAAAAAGGCAAATAAAATAAAGATTGATCGACAGTCTTTATGGCGTAGAGAAGACTTCAAGATCTAAAAAATGTTGCATGAGAATTTTACAAACGTCTTTATTTACGAAATTTTTGCAAAATACTGCATAAAAAATTTTCAAATCATCGGCTTTGCGGCAAACTTCATCGAATCCATTCGCCAATATAAAAAAATATTATTAGCACGTGTTGTAGGTTGAGCGAGATGGGAGTGCTAAACATTCTATGAATAATAATCTTCATAGATTCACTCAACAAGTTTCTCAACTCGAGAACCATCCTATTCCAACGGAACATCTAATCATCAAGTTTTTTTTGTTAATAGTACAAATAAAAAGTTTCAGTTGATAAATGATGATGCATTCTCTCTGATAATTAAGTCATTACCAAAGATTCCCATTTAATGACAAGAACCGTTCCATAACGAATCAATAACCTCTCCCCCCCCCCCCC